AATGAGCGTTTGCTATAATTTTCTCGATATATATTTAAAATTAAAGAAACTTGGCAAATTAATTCGAGGATGTATAGATAACATGAAATCGTGTATTTTGATGAACTTTTATTTTTCAATGTAATGGAGATTTTAATTGTTAATACTAACGGCTTAATTGTCAAGATATGTAACGCAGAAAATTATATATGGCCGAGAGATCGCATCGGTCAGGAGGATTTTTAGGCGCTTTTATTCTCGTAATTTTGCGCGCCGAAATTAGCGATCCCGACGCTTCGACGGCGCGCGGCCCCCGGATCGATTAATTGAATTAACCCGATCGAGCCGCAGACGCGACCGCGCGCGCGAATTGAGCGCGTGCATGATGCAGCCTCGCCGAAAGTCGGGACCGATAACACGCGGATAACCGAGAGCGCGGCGCGGCGTCGGCCGCTTCCGGTCGGCTGAGGTAAAAGCAGGATCGATATATCCGATCGCGCGCATTGTAATGTATCGGGCCGCCGAATCGCGTCACGCCTCGATTAACTGTTTCGCACGGCTCGCAATTTGTGCGCGAACGATTACGTTTACCACCCGCGGGATAATAGCAGAACGCACCGCGCGAATCGCGAGATTTTCAGACCTCTCTCTCTCTCTCCCTTTCTCTCTCTCCTTCTCTCCCCTCCCACCACTCCCCCGCAGCGGCAGCAACAACACAACGGCATTGCGCGTTGTTTCACTCGCGATATGCCGCGCTATGTAATTACGATAATCCGCTGATGATATAATTTACGAGGCCGCATCGCTACCCGCGCATTTATCACACGAGGTAATTTCCTGCTTTATTATAATAATATCCGGGGTAATATGCCTCCGCCTGCGCGCCGAATACCTTCTTATTTTCGAGCACGCCGCTTCTCTTCGTTAACCGCCTCGCACCGCCTTAGCGCGACGTTAATTATTTTGCGCAGTTGCAGTGGTAATTTTGCGTTTTCGCACCGCCGCGCTTGGCCGCGAGACAGATTACCGACTCTGCATCAATTCTTTTAATAATTGCGACCGATATAAATTTGAAGATTTTGCGACGTTTGGGAAAACGTAATGCGCGTGCTACGGAATTTCGTACGAGAGTTAAAATAAAAAGTATAGAAGGCTTTATTAATTGCAATAATAATTTTTTAAGTAAAAATTGTATATTGATTTGTATTTTTGAATAAACTAGAAATTAAAGGAAATAATCGCCAATAAACCATCACACAAAGATGTTGTAATATAATTATATAATTTTATTTGATAAAATTTAAGGCGGACCGTTTCGACTTTACTAAATCTTTTTTAGCCGCAAATGCAAAATTTTAAATTATAATTAATTACATTAATCTTATGTTAGTCGGAGAACAAGACTTCCGCCTTAATTTTGTCGAATAAAATTATATAATTATATTTGTTAAACATCTTTGTTTGCTTGTTTATTAGCCTTTATTTTCTTTAATTTCTGCTTAATGGAAAGAATGATTTTGTTAAAAAGTTTAAAAATTTTGCTAAAAGCACCTGAAAACAATTTTTTATTGAATCATCAAAATAATTTGTTGAAATGTTAAAACTGATCATTTTTATTTTTGCGCACAAAATAATTTTGATTATTGAAGAAAAATTATTTTCAGATTTGGATTCAGCAAAATTGTTCTTTTCGTGTAGATAAAATAAAATAAAATAAATTATTTATCTCCAAAATATGTATCGTTGTATTAGATATTTCGCAACAACAAAAGGTTTGATTACATTATACGTACCTGTTACTCCACTATCTCCGAAATCCAATTCAATTATAATTGACGATTTAATCGTAAGGGAAAAATATAACTGCGTTGTGCTTCGTGCGCGAGATTTAACGATTTCGAGGTTTTTTACGGGGATCCGAATCGGTTAAAGCCAAGACTTATCTCCAGCGAAATGCTGTGCGTTCGAAACGACTCGCGAGATATTCGACGAAATAATATCCCGGTGGCGCGGAGAGGGAGGGAGGCGAAGGGGCAGAGGAAAAGCGCCGGCGATGCAGGGTAAGCGGGCTCCAACCCCTCCCATTCATCTTCGACGCTCGTTCCGGCCGAGGATAACGTTATTTCTACCGTAATACTTCTGTCGGAGAATCGCCCAGCGGAAAAAGCAGTTCGGTATTGCAGCTGCTGGTGCGCACGCGTACTTGCCGGTTCCTCGACAAATGGCAATAACGACGTTAATAGCGCGCCGAATCGTGAAGGGGGGGGATAAAAGGAGATTTCGAGGGTTCTCTCCGTGGATACGTGGATACGTAAACGAAGACGCTCTCTCCGTGATCCTACGGGATTATGATCGATGCGGCTTAGCGATTAGCGAAGATCTTAATTCCGAGATCTTCTTATCTCGCGTATCCAACTTCTCGGTTCTTAAGAAATGACGGAGACTAAGACGACGTTAAGAAATAAAAAAACAAAGCGAAGTATAGTGAAGAGGTTCTTTGAATTAAGAATGTGAATGCTCGAGCAAATTTTCAGGTCTTCGTCTTAAATTGAGCTTAACACATTTGCAGAGTAGTATTATGCTAGAACTGATTAACTTAAAATACATTTTTTTAAGTAATAAAGAATTAGACATTATATTTTATTATAATTATAATATCATTCTGACAGTACTTTTGTCCTATCTTTTTGTAAGTTCACAAATATATTATCAAGAAACACGGTTATCTTGCGCCAATTATATATTATAAAGATTATATAAAAATTGTTAATGTTTTCTTATAACAAGTTTATAAAAGATAGACAGAAAGATATACATGTATAAATACGAGATATGTATATAGAAACGTTTTACAATACTATATCATGACCTTTGTTAAGAACCCACATGCTATCTTAAGAAGACAAAGGCGATGCACGAAACCATAGAAATCGGTTGTTCTAATCACTGTGAGATCAGCAAAGTGTAACACACTTTCGCGATCATATCTGCAAATGTTGAAAAACAGATCAGACCGAACGAGATTCGAAAGATAGAGGAATACGCAGTGGGAGAGGCGGGGATGGGAAATAATAGGAGCGCGATCGGCGAAGTGTGGCATAGCCGCGGTAGTAGACGTTGACGGGATTTCCCAGAGAAGTATACGACGATATACTCCCACGCCCCCATTCGACGAGCCCAGCCGAGACGAGCCACCAGAGCAACTGCCACCCACCCGCCTATCCACCGCCCAGCCAGCCAGCCAGCCAGCAGCGAGCTAACCACCCACCTGCGTTAGCCGCGGTCGCCGCTGACGCTGACGCTGAAGCCGCCGCCACCGTCGTTCGGTCGTGTTTAAAGCTCCGCCAGTAAAACAATAAATTGCGCTCGAGAGAGCGGCAGAGCGCGCGCGCGAGAGAGAGAGAGAGAGAGAGAGAGAGAGAAAGAGAGAGAGAGGTAAAAAAGACGATAGAGAAAGAGAGGCGATATTCGCGGCATACTAGCGTGGAGGAAAGCGGTCCCTGTCAGCAATTGCCCCCCTCTCGTAAGAAAAAATGGCAGCTGCCGTGGCTGGATGGCGCGTACGAGACCATAATACCGCCACCCTACTTCGTTCTGTACGTGTGGACGTCGAGCGTGCGAGTGCGACGGGCGGGGCGGGTTGCCACGCTTAGGAGGGGCGGGAAGAGGAGAGGGCGAAAGGAAGAAGCGTGAGGAAGAAGGGACAAGGACGCGAGAAAGAGAAAGAGAGAGAGAAAGAGAGGGGGGGGGAGTGGGAAGAGATAGACAGTGTGGAAAAAAGCGTCGTAGGACGAGGAGAGACGACCTGGGTGAGCAGCGACGACTACGATGACGACTACGATGATGACGAAGACGAGGACGACGGCGGCGACGACCACCACCGGCTGACCGAGAGAGACTCCTCCTGTGGACGCTCTCGTGCGTGTTTGTATCGTCGGCTCCCGGTTGGCAGTTTCGGTCTGACATGGGCGCGAGAGAAAGAGAGGGACGAGCGGAGGATGAGAGGAAGAACGACGCGGTAATAACGTTTAGGCGAACCTCGAGGTGGGTTTCGTGCGGGAGAGAACCTGCAGGCGGAGCTGAATGCTGATCGTGGAGGAGGAGCATGCCAAGGGACCGCCTATCGACACCCGCTGGGTATTCTCTCCTCTCATTCCCGCTCACGTTCTACCGTTCAGCTCGTCCAGCCGAGCTCTGGGTCGCTTTAGAGGGGGGATGGGGGTCGTGACGAAGAGGCGACTGGCGGTGGCGTGGGTCAGTCTGTCGGGCAACCGGTCGGTCTGTCGTTCCCTGCTCTGTCCGCGCCACGTTTCGCTCGCGCGACCTGGAGTGTAAACGATACGTCAAGCATCAGGCTCCGCATTTTCGCGCGCGCGAAAGAGAAGCGATTGGTGTCCCCGCGACGACGACAACTTTCGATGGAGCGCTTCTCCGGCCACCGTTTATCGGCGTAAATTACTTCGCCTTCCGATTACATCCATTACTGATCGCTGATCGTCACGGCCTAGCTAGCTATTTTTAGTGACAGCCGAGCGTTTTACCATTGAACCACCGATGTTTTAGTTTTAGTGTTGTGCTCCGATGTTTATCGCCGCTCTGATAAGAGAGCTCTGATCTCCCGATTAGCAAGTCCATCCAACGTTTTATCCGAGACTCCATTGGCGGCGATCGCGACCGACCAATCAGTGCTTGATTTTTCCTCGCAAATTTCTGTTTCTCCACGCGCACGTGCGTACACGCGCGCTGTCATCATCTCCTCGCACGCGTATACACGCGCATGACAGCGAGGAGTCGGAGCTGATTAGGAGAGGATGGTGATACCGTTTCAGCGATACTCGCGTATCGAGGATAAAAACGCACACCGTCTCCCGCACAGCGATCATCAGCGTCGCAATCATCGGCATCGTTCTGACGCACGACGTCCGTAGCGACATCGCGACGTCAAGCGGATCCGCCTTGAGACGTGCCCCGACTAGTTTACCGATAGACCCCACGTGGCCCAGGAAGCAGCGCGCGAGGTGATGTTGCTGGAGTCGCGAGGCCTCACCGGTAGGAAGAGAAACGGACTGACACTGACCTCGTTCGGCGACGGTGGCGGCGGTGGTGGCGGAGGAAGCGGCGGCGGCGGCGGTGGTGCCGGTGGAGCCGGCAGCGAGGAGGACGACGAGGAATCTCGACATCACCTCTACCTGGGCAGGAAGATGCAGGGCGAGGGCACCGCCGCCTCCACGGTATCCACCGGGCTGTCCGGGTGCGCCGGCGATGACGGCGACGAGAGCTCGAGCCCGTCACCGAACAGCAGCCTTCTGAACAATCTCAACAATAATTGTAACTCAAATCGCCAATGCGCTACTGACTTCAGCATCGCCGCGATCATGGCGCGGGATTCACGTCAGCAGCAGCAGCAGCAGCAGCAGCAACAACAACAGCAGCAGCAGCAGCAGCAACAGCAACAACAGCAGCAGCAGCAACATCATCATCATCAGAAACATTCACAACAGCAGGCCGTCGGAGGCGGCAAATTGCATCAGCACGGTGAGTCTACTCGGAGAGATGGTCGAACTGGAGATTCCGAAGTAGACCTTTCTGAATGTGACGAATCTGTAAGTGGTCTGTAGAAAATGTGAAAGTAACGCCAGTAGCAATATTCGAAGAATTTGAAGGTAGAAATTTGTAGCGTTAAAAGTAAATTATCAAGTGTAAATGTGGAGAAAATAATAATCAAAACGATGTTATTGTTCAGGAGATTTCTTTGAGTTTCCCTTTTTTCAGGAGAATGGAAACAATAGTTCATAATTCTGTTTTTGAATGGTTTTCTTACGGATATATTCGATATTCCAATATGTCCATTTTGTTTTTTCAACATGACTTTGATTAAGTTCACCTAGTATAAATTAATGGCAAACATTTGCTAATAATTTATCATAAATGAATCTAATTTTCTGAAAATTCGTTATTTGATATGATTTTCGTTAAAGTTGCATGAAACTTTATAAGCGATTGCTTACATCTACAGTTTTACGTCGGACCAAAATTATTATGATTTATTATATTTACATTCGTGTGAGCACAGTTTCTTCATACGAACGCGGAGCCATTGTTGTAAGTTGCTGCAAATTTGCCTCCTGAAATTTTCATGAAATTCTTTCGCAATCGATCGTACGGTTTGTAACATCCGTGTAAACTTTACGAGCGTCTTAATTACGCGCGCTTTGCCGATAAAAATTAATTGGCTTCGAAAGCCTCGATGCAACATATCAGCGTGTTGCATCGTTATACTGTTACGTGAAATCATCAATATCTTCCTTTTGTTTAAATAAATCATGAATCGTGTGTCACGCGCCGAATATTTCACATTTCATTGCTGACTTTCGTATTACTCCAATAAGTAACATTCCTTCCTTTAATTACATAATAAAATCTATTTAATCTAATAAGAATATGCATAATAGAATTAGTATTATATCTTTAATATTAAAAAACAAATTTTTTTACAATCTACTTCGTTTTTGCATACCCGCGAGAGACGCCTGCACATTTCAGTTAAGTTGTTAATTTAATTTTGATCAATATTCATTAAGACATGTGTCAAAACTTTTTCATACAATCGCAAGACCGCAATTTGCTCCGTCAGTACTCGTATTTTTAAATACTATCATACAGGTTACATTTCAGTAATATTAACTCTGAATTCGATCACATTTATTTCTTTGAAAATTCATTTTGTGATATTAATACCATTCCCTTTCGCTCACGAGAGCTCGTTAATCGACAGTCGCGTAATTGACATTTTTTGTCGGTGTATCAACGTGCGATTACTCCTCCTGTGTCGCTGCAATTAATGTCGCAACTTCAACTTTATTGTTAGAAAATATTTCAAGGAGAAATACACGCGCGAAATAACTAAGAATAGAAATTAAATTTTCTTGAAAAGCAATTAATTCGTCGAGATCGACAGATATCTTAATTATTTTCGATATTCTGCTTTTATAATTACTAATTCTGCTCTTATTTGTTTTGAATTGTTTTGAATATAAATAGAACTCTAGAACGTCATTTATTAAAGCGACAAGTCACACACTTCGATCGAGACCGCTTGTCACTAACGCCTCGAGTCCTTGTGAGATATTCGAGGTTCTCGAGATCGTTGTTCATTAACGCGCGGCCGGCAGCTTCATTACACTATTACGTTTATTGTTATCGCGCCTCTCGCGTGCGCGCGCGGGCGCATCGTCGCCGCTCTCCGGTGCGATATTGCGCGAGTCATAACTCTCTTCGCGCGCGGCGGCGCACCTCTCTTACCGTGGCGCATTAACTCGAAGAAAAATCGCTCACCCCTTTCGGTACGGCCATCCATAACGTTTAATGCGGCCATTCCCGACGAAAATGGAGCGGCCAGTCTATCGCGCGATTTTTGCGTCGTATCCCCCGGCCTACCTGTCCGCTGTCATGGCTCATTATTTTTATTGCCCCGTTAAAAACTTACCAATTAATTTTCGACCATTAACATTTATCGCGCGTACCGGTTATATTCCGATCCCTTTTGGAGCGTCTCGACGCCATCGTCGTGCGGACGGACGACGACGATTTTGCGATTTTAAAATACGTAAAACCTCAGGTAAATCCTACTGCCTGCCGGTTTAAGTACTCTGGAATATTATTATATAAAATTCACATATAAATAATTTACGAATTTAGATTATTATTAATGATAAATTATTCTACATAACTGCGCAATAATATTAATGTAAATAATCTCTCCTGAAATGAAAAAAAGTCTTTTTTTCTCCGATTTCTAAACATTTTCCATTTAGATGAGAAAAGAGACTTTTCTCACTTTGCAATTATCGTGTACAATGTTTTTTTTTTATATGCACGTCGAAATATCAAACGGGAGAGTAAATTTTTCAGACGCTTATAGTTGATTCTGCTCGCCAGCGAACTCTTGGGAAACGAACGAGACGTGTCCCGGGAAATAAAATACGGCGACAACCTCCTCGACGGAGCGTGAATTGCGCGGAAAGTTTCCCGCTTGACGTCTTCTCGCGTTTAAGTATTAATTCCGGAACCGCCGATGACGCACATCGAAACTTGGACTATGATTACCTGCGAGCCGGCAATTGTCAATGTGAACTGTACAATGCCCCCTTATATCGATGTTATCGCAAAAATTGTAACACGAGTAATATCGCGCCGATAATATCTCGTTGAAGCGCTTGTACCGCGTTATAATTAGTGCGGGTGATAAAATAATTACATATAATTGTGATACGTTTGAGTACAATTTAATTAGACTTTTGTTTGAGGCATTACACAAAAAATCAACTTTACATTAATATAAATTATAACACTGTCGCTATGAATGACGGTCGGAATTATTTAAGACGTTAAATCTGTAAAGACTACCGCTTCGAGAATCGTTTCGCTGCTTTATGTCTGTTCAAAACATCTGCCCCAATGTCCCTTCTCTTTTTAGAAAAGAATATTCGCGATTAAGGCAAAGGGTTCGAGTGCTAAGGCACGACGAGTGTAGGAACATCGCTCGCCGTCGCATTTTAATTCGCGCATTTGCGGACGTAAAAATGTCGACGAGGTAAATTACAAGCTGGCGCGGCGCTCTAATGAGGCCCTCTAATATAGAAATTGTTCCGAACTGTCATTATCGAGATAAATGACCGGCGAGGGCCGCGGCACGTAACCGGGGACGAAAGCGGATCGTTTTTGTGGGGGAAACGGGATAATGGCCCGTCACTTTCGTTTCTTTTAACGACCGAAAAAGGCATCCGGAGCGGGGATTCACGCGGCGGACTCGCTCCGTAATCCGTCGTGCACATTTGGATGGCTATATTTCATAAATGGAAGGTAAATCGATCTAAATAGCTACTAGAGAGTCGCTCAATATGCACGGGAAATTACTTTACACGATAAAGGAATTATTATCGTAATTATTATAGTAAAAGTATAACAGGAATTATTATTATTATTATTATGCTAGTACATCATTGTTGTTAATAATTTTACTGTATTTCATATGTGCGAACATCTTTATCTATCTATCTATATATCTACGAAGAAATTTTCCGAGGCTTTCATCAATTATTCGATTACCGAGACAGTATATAAATATAAATATTTTATTTAATGTATGTACGGGGATATTTATATATCTAATGTAAATTTTTGTATTTTTAACTGTTTTTAATTAGGTGGATAAGAAAATATATTTATAATAAATTATCTCATAAAGCGATATCTCGAATCTTTCTGCAATTGACTAAATCAAAGTTTGGCGCGTCATAGCAATATTTTCGAAGCGTTCCTTTCGAAAATCGTTCGCGGAATATCTGATTATGCATCTGATAATGGAGATTGGATTGTAGCAAATTCGACGCCAATGTTTTCGTGGCTCGAATAACGACCGTAAATTATATCGGCATTAATGAATTATTTAACGCGCATCGGCGTGAATGGAATGGTAAACAATACGATCGCCTAAATCGTCGAAATTCGGTCTGGCGAAATAATCAGCCGCGAATATTTTATGCGAGAGATGAGCCGCCTGACCGCCTCATTTCGTCGCTTTAGAAACTCGTTTGCGCCATACAATGGTATCTGAAATGCCTATTGTGATTTGTTTGTCAATGTAAATCAGTCATGCTAGGCGTACATGAGTAAGCGAAAATAACCAAATAGATCGTTTTATGAGTAGGTGGATAAAAAATTTTAAATAGATAAATTTCGAAGGCGTAACATGTTCAACGAATACAAATTTTATTTACATAGAATAACAGAATTTAATAGAATACAGAATAGAATACGCACACAAAATTTAAAAAGATTATCATTTAGATATCGCATTTCTGTTTCGTATTTCTTGAAGCAGGTCAAAATGTTTATACTCTTTCAAATAAGCAGGTTTCTCTCTTTCTGTAATTTGCTTTTCAGCACGTGTTATCTTGTCGAAATAATCGATTCGGATACGTGTGGGCGAGGTATACATTTCTATTTCAGCAATTTATATTCGCGCGTGTCTGTTAGTTTTACATCATGATAGGTGAAGGATAATCCGCCAATTCGCCGTGATTCACTATCGAAATAAACTTCATCGAGTATTGACTACGGGAAACTTAGGTGGAATTTACTCTCGCGATAAGAAACCTTGCATTATTCAGAAACACGTGTCGCGCCTAATTGAGAATGTTATTCGCATGGCAAGCGCGGATTTTACTTGGAATCACAAATTTTCGATTAGCGTCGAGCTGGTCCATTAAACGAAACGCGTCGGGCGAGACAACAAGATCCGAAAAACTACTACTCGAGTCTCGCGCATAAATTATTGCCGCTGTGCTAATGAATTATTTAACGTTTGTTACACGTCAATGAAATCCGAGTCTAGGAATGCTCAAATTTAGCTTTATCGATACTCGATCTTTGAAAATCGACGCTATTCACGGGCGTGACGAAACGATCGTATAATACGGCTACGGAAGAGGAAAAGACATACATATTTATATTACACATGTATAAAAATAAAT